AACCAAATAAAAAGGAGAGGGTCCTTTACGTGTCCCTTAAAAGCTTTAGCAGCTGCCTCAATATATGTACGTATTTGCACATATAACCTGAGCGTGTAAGCGAAGGCATATGCCAGCCAAAACGAATTGAATTTCAGAGCAATATCGAGTGGGGCCCAGGCAAGTTTGACTGCTCGTCGTCAAGTGGGCATGGGCATCATCTGGGCCCATTGTGGCAATGCAACTGCCGAGCTAGACAATCGCTTGGCAACTGCTCAACTATCTCATGGATGCAATTGTGTCAACGCTGCACTTTTCGCTTTTTTCTCACGTTACCAGCGCGAGTCTGAGTAACTGAATAATTCGAGCGACTTGTGGCACTACTTTCTATCGGCTAATTTGCAACTTTTCACATGCCACCGAGCGCACTTTATCTCACAGATTCCAGTAGTGATCCGAGAATGGCGGAGGGTGTACTCGCCTAGCGGGATGTGAAAATGTTGATGTTATGCTTGATTTTTTCAACGATTTATGTGTCATTGTTTTGGCGTTTGGAATTACCCAGACTCACTCTCATTGAGAAGATGGCTTATTGTTGTTGGCGAGGCCAATGGTAATGTGATGTTGATAACTTTCCCTCCTCGCGATTATTTCCAGTTGCGTTTCGAGCGGAAGTTGGTTTCATGGCTTGATCTGTGCAAGGTGATGTAATGATAGTGGGTGCTGCTGATGGTGATTAGCCGAATTAGTGCTGCATGTGAAAAGGAAAGTTTTACTAGATGGGACAGCGAAAATCATATTAAATTGTGAATAGCCCGAGCGATGATAGCTCTGATAGTTAAATTCAATTTCTCTAATAATTCTAAAAACACCTCTTAACGGGGTAAAAAGTCGTGACGACCGCACTTTATACGTACAAAATTTCTAATATGCAATTTAGTGACAAAAATGAAAGCATTCGACTAAATAAATACCCTTTTAAAAATGTTTTCCTTCCTACCGCTTTAACAATGATTTTAATCATTTTGCCTATTTTTTATTGCAGCGATACCATAGAATTGTTCAATGCTAACAAATTATATTTAAAACTTGATATTTTAATATGATGATAACTTTTTAATAACTTTTGAACAGAGCATTGGCTTTAAATCAAATTGGGTGACGACGCGTGTTTTATAATATTATATTAATAATAATTTCATTGTCTATTCTATTTTTCTGTTTATCATTTCTTTTACATTTTTATTAAAATGGTAATGGTTTATTAATCCAGAATTACGCTCTTAATTTTTAAAAAACGATATTATATAGCTTTCATACGAATGAACGCTTAAATGTAATTGGACATATGGATGTTTTAAATATAATTAATTTTTGCAAAAGCTTCGGCTTGCCGAAGATTACTTCCTTTCCTGCTTTAATATCAATTTGACATTAATCGATGGCAAAAATGGCACTTATTACTTTTGAATATCAAATGGATATATGCAATTATTTTTCATATATATTTAAAGATAGTATTTTTCAGTTTTTTATAAATATAGGCTTGCACCATTTGAATGAATGGCACCTTAAAATTTGTTTCTCGAACGTAATGCACAGTGATTTTTGTTAAATGAAGTGAATGGTATCGACTTCGCTTATAATGGAATGCTGACATGAGCATTGCTGCTTAATTGTGATGCGGATTGTCATAAAGTGTGTCAACTATATTGACAAATGCAAATGATCAACTTTCAAAGTAAGCCTGTCGTTACCTGGCACTATCTTTTAAACTTTTCTTACGACATAGTTCATTGAAGTCTTTATTGAGACCCGTCGCTCCACATTGCATATGTTTATGCCTTTGTTTAAATGTGGCCTGGTGGCTTGTTAGGCTATGACAACACGGTAATTATGTCATGAAATCCCCAATTCCCAATTCCACATTTAATAGACCTTGGCACGCATGCTACCGAAAATGCTAGAAGTCAATTAAAAGCCCATTATCCACACCATGGATGCTGCCCAATCAGAACTGCCTGTGGATTTGTTTAATAAACAATTTCCGTTTTGATTTCTGGCCGCATGAGTTTAAGGATTCCCCTCGAATCGGAGCTAATTAACCTGACTGTTTCTGATGCGGGACAATTATGCCAGCCAAAGTGTGAAGAGATGCCCGCTGCTGGCGAATACTTTTATCGGTGGGGCTGATTGATGCGCCAGGCTCAGGTGTTTTTGTCGGCTTTTCGATCGGAAGTCGCAGCTTCATTTTGTCGGCCGCAGTTCCACCGCGTTCTTCGAAGCCGTCGCATTTTTCGCGTTTGTTTCGATGAATTAGCCAGCGATTCCCTTTAGCTCATTGATTGTTGACTTAATGTTCGGTCCACTCGAACTGCAACCTGGTATTTATCTCCTTCAGATGAAAGCCGACAAATGGCATACTGCAAATCGATGTCGTTGGAAGGCATCGCTGGCATTCGATTCGATTAACCCTTTACGTACCCATGCGCACGCATTGTTAGCTTAAAACAATTGACTTATGAGTTCTGTTGTCTTTTACTTTTAACTGTAGCGCGTTAGGCTAAAAAAAACCGAATTGTTGATATCTAAGACACTATTGTAGCTATCTTTCTTCATTGTGATGTTTGTTTCTAGAAAAATGTATATATAATAAATATGGTTAATTCTAGGGATGAAGCTGTTAAATAGCTGTTATAAATAGGGAAGAGATTTATTGACTTGGAGGGTTAAATCGGGTACACAGCTCATTTGACTTTACGTGCAATTAATTAATGCATCATAGAGAGATGGAAAGCAGAACGGCGTAGGAAAGGAACTTCCCCTTTGGATGGCCAGCTTCCACCGGAAAATATTTGTTTCCGTTCTCCGCTCTGTCCGTTCTGGGGAATGGAAAATAAATTACAATTAAATGCAACAAACATGCAATACAATTATTCGCTGCGCATCGCGGCGGATGTTTATTATCAAGTGGATACGTAGCGACAACATCATTAGCCCCTGTCCCTGGTCACTGCCCATCAGTGGTTCTCTGCGGCGCCCTTTTTCCGATGGAACGACAGTAAAAGTGGCCTGGCATGCTAATCCGGAAGTAGGTCGTTTTCCAAAGGCAAATGAAAGCGTGAGCTGGAGCCGGAGTCAAGTCGAAAAGCGTCGACAGTCATAACAATGCATATGTCTGCTGCGAGTGGGATACGCTGCAGCATGGGAAATTGAGACCTAAACTTTAGTGAAAAGTCATCTCCAAATGAAAGTCACAGACTGATTCTCATCACAGCATGGCAATCGAAATGAGGAACAAGACAATATCTTTGTGTGGGAATGGCGCATGGGGAATAGCGAAAAGACAAATGAAGTTTCCAGCTTATGAAAAAAGTTAAAGTGAAGCGGTAACGAACATTAAAGCATTGCTCATGATGCTTTGATCAATATATTCTTCTGCTCTTAAACGAACTTTGACCATTTTGAATTGCGGCTCTAACAAATATATATTAGCCGGATGGAATTGCCGTCTTGAAAACGTCCTTCTGAGGATGCTATGAAACAGTTTATAAGAGCTTGCATTTAAAAGCCAATTGAAAAAAATGGCATTCAAAATGAATTAATGGCGCCTTATTTTAAAAGTTGTTAGCTTAAAAAAAAAAGAAATTTAAGCAAACTGCCTACTTCGAAGATCCAGATTAGAATATCCAAATTCCGGAGATCTCTACTTTGCACCTATGGAACAATAGGATAAGATAACCTGATCTAGGGCAACTATAAACTATTTTCCTAAGACTGTAATCAATCAAGGCACATAAATGCATGTATAAAATACTCATTAATTTTAAGCTGGCTCGTTGTGACCCTTAATTGAAAATTAAATGCGCATTATATTAATAAATGGTGTTCCGATTTCGGCTTAAGGTGAATTCCAACATACTGTAATAGTACGCCACAGTTGGCGTAGATCACAAGGCAGTAACGACTTTTGACCATATGAGGAGCCGAGGCAATTTAAGCAGCGTGCCGCAGACACCACGCAAAATGAGAGCAACTCGCGCATAAATCGCTATGTTTTCAACAATTAGCAGGGGACACCCACCCAAGTGGGGATCCGATCCACGGAGTGACCGCTCGCCCACGAGTTGGCCATGCCTTAGTTTTATAAGTCCCACGTTCAATCATGCTTTCAATTTGACTGGTGCGCAGGCGCAAGATTCAATTTACATATTCAAGTCGGCAATGTTTTTAGTTTGATATTTTCTCATTCTACTCACAGTACGGATGTTGGAAAAATTTTGAATTGCAAAGTGGCAGTTTCACTTTTGAGCAAAGACAATGGTGCCCTTTTGAGATGTACATATATACACATATGCTTGCATTTTTATATTAATTCTTGCCTGTGAAATTGTTTGCCGTGACTGCACATGTCAGATTTTGTAAAGCTTGTACTACAGAGTAGGGTTGAGAAAATATGGATGGTGTGCACTTTCGGTAGTTTTGGCTATCGATGGTGTTCACTATCGATAGTATCGACAATTGTTTAACCTCAAAAATAACGAAATATCAATTAATTGATATCCAAACCCATAATATATTTTATTTGACGATGATTGACATAGCAAATTATCAGAAATTCATTTTTACATCACCATTAAAAATGGAATTCGCCACCACGTTTTTTTGTAACTTCTTAGCTTAACTTAATCGATCTCGAACGATTTAAGCAAGTTCGCAGAAATATACCTTTATATACATTAAGTATTATTAAAACATATATAAATTAAAATATTTTTTTTTAAAGCGACAGTTTGCGATGTTTGCTAAAATGTTCGATTGTTTTACCAAACCTATTACTAATTTTGTCGCTATTATAAGATATATACAAAGTCTTCTTACTAAAAAAACGAGGCCGACTACCTTTTTTGTGATTTAAATAAAAGAAAGGTTCTACAACCTGATAAAAGCCATGTCGAAATGATTTTCCTTGAAGCCCATATATAATGATACATAACATTAGGCTACGTTAAATACTCGAATATGGGAGGTTTCTTCGCATGGTTGATTGCAGTTCGTAAGTCTCGTTTGAGGATATTCCAAAAGAACTAAGTTCTTTCAAAGCTAACTTTAAATATTTCAATTTAGTTTCTTGCTGCCTTGTGACAAAAACAGAAGCCCAATTTCAGAGATTACCCGCGAGTCCAGATAATGTGGTTCAAGACGCCACTAATGAAACCGAGTCAAAGGAATCTCTAAAGGGGGTTACATTCAACGAAAGTCTACTGAATCAAGTCCAGTCTGAATTGAACGCGCAGTTAGCCATTAACTCAGATTTGAGGTCAAAAGTGGTGAGGCGTAGTGCTGTTTTAGACAATATTAACCGAGGCGCAATCAAAGTCATGCAAAAATTTTCTGCGACGAGGAATGCTTTGATGAAAGCCAGTCAGTTATTGTCCCAAAAAAAAGTTAAGGTCGATTATAGTTGGCTCTTAATGGAACGCTGCCGAAATATCCAGTACCGGAATGAGAAGGTTCGGCGAATTGCCGACAGACTGGCCGACAGAAGGGCGGAGGAAGTCCAGCCGAAAGCTAAGAAACATTATCTATCAAAGTATCTTAGACTTTTGGAGGTTCTCCAAGAGCAGGTAGTTCAAGAAACCCGTGCCGGTATGGGGTTACCTAAAAGACAGTTGAGAATCGGAACGTCCGAAAGTCCATAGGCCCAAAATTAACCAGAAATAATAAACAAAAATGTCTCGTGACGTGTAAGGTTGGTACTTTGAAGAAGGGAACATTTGGATTGGCTTAACAAAAGTCAAGCAGAACGAAACACCCCGTTACTGCTGCCCTTATGTAACCAGGAATTCGGGTCTATAAAAAAGAGGCCACTCAACTGATTTGAATACTTTGAGTGCAGCTGTTTCATCGAGATGAGAGTCCTATTGCTATGCCCAGCATTTCTAAGCAAGTACGCTTTTGCTTAGTCTGACATATATTAAAGTGAATATTTTTTGGTTAGTTCTGCTGGCTAATGGCGACTCTGTGTCCCAGAATGTTTTAAACAAGAGTGACTCGGTACAAAGGGATTCTTCCAAAGGTGTTTCGCTAATGACAGATTTATCTCCGCTTGGTGACTCTCCCATGAACTTTCATAGAAGCGATTCCCTTCCGAACGTTACACCCTGGGGGGATTATGTGGCACAGAGTGCTCCATTTAAAAGCGATCCTCCACAGAACGAAACATCCAAACCGGATAAAAACGATTCACTGCCGAGTGCTATACCCTTTGGTTATTATGTGACACAGAGTTCTCCACTGACTGAAACGTCTAAGAAGGACTTACTTCTAATACAAAATAAAGGCAACTTAGAAGGGGACTCGGGCAAAAATGTGCCTTCTCCCGGCCACTTTTCACCGTCTGCTACTGAGACAGTCAAGGCACTCCAACAGAGGCTGTTGGAGGAACAGGCAAAAACTCTGCTCCTTCGGAACCAGTCCGCGTATTTATTGCAGGAAATACAAGCACGAAAGTCCCAGGTGCTCAGGGCTCAAGAGTTAAGCCTTGACATGGCCGATAAGAGGAATCATGTGAACCGCAATCTGCTGGAGATACATGTGCAGCTCGAAAATGTGCGAAAGCAGGTGAAGAAGTGCCAGGGAAAGCTCTCCGGCAAGGAGATATTTCGGCTGGCCGACATCGAGGCCAATAGGTTGCTGAAGGAGGAGCGGGAGCCCGTGGTTAACTATAACAACCGGAACAGGTTCCTCAAACTCCTAAGGGAGCTGCGTCGAAAGATCAAGGACGAAATCAATCTAGTCTCGGAACTTGTTGCTGATAGCACCACGACAGTGAGGCCTACTGACGGAATCTTTCCAACCCTACCCTGGCCATAATCGGAGTGATCACATAATTTGTAGTAAATAAACAGCCAGCAAAAAAATAACTACTAATAAGTATTGAGTCATAGTAAAACCTTCAAATTACGCGCCGTCATAATCAAATTAGGCTGAAAAAATCAGATTTTACAGCTCAGCTTGTCGATTTCCTTACAGTCTGAAGACTAACTGCGTACTATGAACTACATCGTGTTGATCTGCATTTTTAGTAAGTTCCTAATGTAGTGCAAGGTTCTTCGAGATGGGTATTTATTTATTTATCACGCAGCATACATTTGCGTCTGGCGATTCGCCGAAGCTGCTCCATTCATAAGCATTCAGTCCAGTTCAAGAACAAGGTCTCAGAAAATAATGAACGGCTTATTGAGAACTCTGTACGACTACAACATACGGGACAATGTGGACGATGCCAATGGACAATTGGTTCACAGCCGGATGGCCGATTTCAAATCGGATATTATGAGCCCGGAGGAACAACAGAAGATTCGCGATCAGATGGTCATCTTGTAGAAATACAGTTTTTTTTTAAGTATGTTGCACTTAATATGACAATTTCTATACCCTTGCAGAGGGTATTATAATTTCAGTTTGCAGAAGTTTGCAACGCAGTGAAGGAGACATTTCCAACCCTATAAAGTATATATATTCTTGATCAGCATCACTAGGCGAGACGATCTAGCCATGTCCGTCTGTTTTTTAATTTTTTGTTTAGTTCTTCGACTTTTAGTAATGGTTAAATATTTGCGATTTACGGTTTAAATTTCATCAAATTCGGACGACTATAGCATATAGCTCCCATAGGAACAATCGGAAAAATAAATGAAAAAATAATTATAACTTTGGTGTTTTTTAATTTTTTTTTAGTTCTTCGAGATATAGTTATGGTTAAATATTTCAGAATTACGGTTTAAATTTCATCAGAATCGGACGACTATAGCATATAGCTGCCATAGGAACTATCGAATAATTAAACTGCAAATCATTATAGCTTCAATGTTTTTAAACATACACGCAAGTAAATCATAATTCTAACGTTTTCAAGAGTATTTAGTTTTTGAAATAGCTGCAATGGTATATGAACTTCGGCTTGCCGAAGTTTGCTTGCTTTCTTGTTTAATTTTTTTTTTAGTTCTTCGACATATAGCAATGGTTAAATATTTCAGAATTATGTTTTAAATTTTATCAAAATCGGACGACTATATTCATATAGCTCCCATAGAAATAATAAAAATATATAAAATAACTATAAAATAATTGAGCTGAAAATCATCATAGCTTCAATGTTTTTAAACATATACGCAAGTAAATCATAATATTAATGATTTTAAAAATGTTTAATTCTTGCAAAAGCTGGAAGGGTATATGAACTTCGGCTTGCCGAAGTTTGCTTTCTTTCTTGTTTAAGTTGTATTGTAGATTATTTAATTTTTGAAATAGCTGCCAAGGCTTATACACTTCGGCTTTTACTGTTTTTCCAGAAAACAATTTAAAAATTGAAGGCTTGAAGTGATAGTTTTGAGTGCATAAATAAAATTGTAAATCTTCATACCTTCATAATTATGAGATCTGCAATGAACAGAGCTATGTCTCGGAGACGTGTAAGGTTGGTACTTTGCAGAAGGGAACATTTTGATTAGCTTAACAAAAGTCAAGCTGAACGAAACACCATGTTACAACTGCCCTTATGTAACCAGGAATTTGGGTATATAATAAAAAAACATCCTCAACTGATTTGAATACAACTGTTTCATCGAGATGAGAGGCCTATTGCTATGCTCAGCATTTATTAGTTAGTACTCTTCTGCTTAGTCTAACAGACTAACAGGCTAACGGCGACTCTAGCCCCCCGAATATTATAGCTAAGAGTGACTCGCTGCAAAGGGACTCTCCCATGGACATTCAGAAAAGCGATTCACTTCCGAACGTTACACCCTGGAGGGATTATGTGGAACAGAGTGCTCCACTTAAAAGCGATCCTCCTCATCTAATCTTTCCATCAATACCCTCGCCATAGTCGGTGTGATCACATAAGTCGTAGTGAATAAACAGACAGCAAATTATAACTACTAATAAGTATTGAGTCATAGTAAAACCTTCAAATTGCGCGCCGTCATAATCAAATTAGGCTGAAAAAATCAGATTTTACAGCTCAGCTTGTCAATTTCCTTACAGTCTGAAGACTTACTGCGTACTATGAACTACATCGTGTTGATCTGCATTTTTGGTAAGTTCTTAGGGTAGTGCAAGGTTCTTCGAGATGGGTATTTATTTATTTATCACGTAGCATACATTTGCGTCTGGCGATTCGCCGAAGCTGCTCCATTCATAAGCATTCAGTCCAGTTCAAGAACAAGGTCTCAGAAAATAATGAACGGCTTATTGAGAACTCTGTACGACTACAACATACGGGACAATGTGGACGATGCCAATGGACAATTGGTTCACAGCCGGATGGCCGATTTCAAATCGGATATTATGAGCCCGGAGGAACAACAGAATATTCGCGATCAGATGGTCATCTTCTAAAAACATAGTCTTTTTGCTTGTTTACCTTATAATAAAATATAATAAAACATATTAGCATGGAAAGTATTTAAATAAAACTATAACCCAGATATTTGACAATAAAAGTTTATGGAAAGACCCCCTTCGAGGAAAATTTAGGTGTAAATTTGTATTAATCCGTCGCAGTCCGTGTTATTTGACTCTTGAGTCAGACCAATATGGAACATAGGTTATAGGAGAAATCTTGGGATCTAACGTTTTTCGAACAAGATATATGTATCTTCTAGTTTCCACATTGCCCTGGTAATCTGAGTCAAATAAGTCATCACATAGAGAATAAGTTAAGTACGTTGCACTTCATATGACCATTTTTTTACTTAACAAAAAATCTAAAACCAAAAATGTCCAACTTCAGTTCAACTAACTCAATTTCACTATTAATTTGAGTTAACTTGGATTGCTGTAATTTTTTATTTATATTATATATTATTATTTTAAGTGAAATTAATGCTTAATTTTATGAGCAAGAAAGGAAGCAAACTTCTCAAGAAAAAATTTATATACCCTTGCAGTTACTGCAAAATGTAAATATTTTTTATAAAAACTATATTCCGGTCTTAATGTCTATAAAGCAGTTAAGCTATGATGATTTTTCGAATCATTTTTTGATTGTTCCTATGATAGTATTTCTGAAACAATACACCATTACTATATGTCGAATTGAAATTTAATTAAATTAATTGAATTCAATTAAATTAATTGAAAAACTGCAAAGCTAAAATTCTTCCTGCAATAGAAAGACAACTTTTGGGAAAGTTTCATGCAAATAGCTTTAAAACTGAGAGACTAGATTGCGTAGAAACGAACGGACGTCTGTCTAGATCGACTCGCCTAGTGATGCTGATCAAGAATATATATACTTTATAGGGTCGGAGATGTCTCCTTCACTGCGTTGCAAACTTCTGACTGAAATTATAATACCCTCTGCAAGGGTATATTAATTGAGCTGCAAATCATCATAGCTTTCATGTCTTTAAACATATACGCAAGTAAATCATAACTTTAATGTTTTCAAAAATGTTTAATTCTTGCAATAGCTGCAAGGGTATATGAACTTTGGCTTGCCGACTTTCTTTCTTGTTTTAGTTGTATTAAAGGTTATTTAATTTTTTAAATAGCTGCAAGGGCTTACATATATACTTCGGCTTTTACTGTTTTTCCAGCAAACAATTTCAAAATTGAAGGCTTGAAGTGATAGTTTTGAGTGTTTATTTGTCTAGCCCTAGATCATAAATAAAATTGTAGATCTACCTTCATAATAATGAGATCTGCAATGAACAGAGCTATGGCGCCATATGACATAATTTGTCTGATGGTCGGGCGAGTAATCTACTTTTCAGAGACATTTACCTGCTCTTTTTGCTACCTGTGGTACCTTGGTGATACTGTTTGGAAATAAAGAAGAACATTCCTTTAACTGGAACTCAGTTGAGTGTGAAAGTGTTGTGCTACATTTTCTTAAATTAACTACAACTGCCGTTGCTCTGCTCGAAAGCATTTTGCTTGGCAGATTTATGCTTATTTTTGGGTTGAAATTCGTCCCTTTTCCTTCAATTCCTCACAGCTTGAATACTCGACCTGTCTACATTCTATGACATGGTATTTCTTAGGTAAATTCGTTTTATTATTATTTATTGCCTAATGTCAAACATTTTGCTTTCGCAGTTGCACTTTCCTCTTAAATTAGTCTGGCTGTGCTCAATCATTTTATTCAAACTATTTGCACAAATTCAATAAATCTAAATCACCTCTGACCCTCCCCATTTGCAAATGAAAAATTATGTTTTTTATTTTAAAACGACAGTAGCCTTTATAAATCTTTTTTATACCCTTGTTAGGGTATTATAATTTCAGTCAGAAGTTTGCTACGCAGTGACGGAAACGTTTCCGACCCTATAAAGTATATATATTCTTGATCAGCATCACTAGAAGAGTCGATCTATCCATGTCCGTCTGTGCGTCCGTCTGTCCGTCCGTTTCTACATAAAATAGTCCCTCAGTTTTAAAGCTATCTGCATGAAACTTTCCCAAAAGCTATCTTTCTATTGCAGGTAGTATATAAGTCGGAACGAGCCGGATCGGACGACTATATCATATAGCTCCCATAGGATCAATTGGAAAAATAAATTTAACTTTTTTATTTTGTATTTTTTTTTATAAATTCTTTTTGATTACTTAATTTTTTGACAGTTCAGAATTACGCTTTTAATTTTATTAAAATCGGAAAACGGTATCATATAGCTGCCATAGGAACTCAAATAATTGAGCTGCAAATCATCATAGCTTCAATGCTTTTAAACATACACGCAAGTAAATCATAATTTTAATGTCTTCAAGAATATTAAATAGCTGCAAGGGTATATGAACTTCGGCTTGCCGAAGTTTGCTTCCTTTCTTGATTTCTTTTAATTTCTCTCCTTTGTTTTATATTCTGGTTATATTATTTTTAATTCAAAGAATTTTTAGAGCGTTTTTTTCAAATTTAATTTTTGTTATGACGAATTTGGCCATATTTATCGGATAGAAGTGTCTTTCACTCCAATAGTCAAGTTTGAAATTGTGTATATGTGACCATATTTATGAAAATCTACTGCGGATTCTGTACATACATTTTCCAATAACTTTTGCTGGGGGCAGCGCAATGGGGGTTGAGTAATATTTTTAGAACTCGGCTGTGCCGTTTATTCGTTTCTTGTTTCTCCATTACCTCCCGCCCCGTGAGTACACATGTGGTTCCATCTTATAAACATATCCTTTTAAGAGTCCATCAACCAACAACTGCAAACCTACAGTGTGCCTAACTCCGTCTTCTGTCTCGCTCAGACATGTTGGCCTGGTAAATTTTTTACGAGCCGCAATCAGTAAATGTGTCACGTAATCAAACATGAAAATGTACAAAAATACATTTTGTATAAACACATGCTTAAATTAAAGAGTGATATTTATATTTAAGGCACACGACAATCCATCGCAAGCCCAAGAGCCAAAAAAATCATACACGCCAACACATTTATCATTTTTATATTGCTGACAGCTTAAACAAAGAAAAAGATAAAAGATTTCCTTAATTTTTGAAGACATGAGAAATTGTGGACAATATTCACATAATTAAACAAATAACATAATAATGACAGTTATTCCTAGAAACACATACTTTTGAAAATGTTACACCCAGAAAAAAGTAGAATGAATTATTTTAGCACGAACGATCTTGAAAATCGACCGAATAATTCCTAAAATATTTAGGACGAACGTGTTCAGAATAAGAACGGGTCATACTTGATAATAATATTTTAAAATGTTTTTTTTAATACATAGAGAAAACGATATTTTTCGCTTTATACCTGCTTATAGTGTTTGTAAATAATATCAGAATTATTAAAAACAGTAAACCCTATTTAAAACTATTAATTTAACAAAAAAACAGGAACTATTAATTAAAAACAAGAACGTTTCGTTCTTAAAATGATTGGCCTAGGGGGTAAACGTCTTGGATCATCAAACATTGGCTAAGCTATAAGAACCCGAGCTCAAATCTCAGACAAAGTTATCAATTTTTTTTTGGTTTTTATGTTTTTATACCCTTGCAGAAGGTATAATAATTTTAGTCAGAAGTTTGCAACGCAGTGAAGTAGACATCTCCGACCCTATAAAGTATATATATTCTTGATCAGCATCACTAGGCGAGTTGATCTAGCCATGTCCGTCCGTCCGTCTGTCCGTCCGCTTCTACGCAAACTAGTCTCTCAGTTTTAAAGATATCTGCATGAAAAGTTGTCTTTCTATTGCAGGTAGTATATAAGTCGGAACGAGCCGGATCGGACGACTATATCATATAGCTCCCATAGGAACAATCCCAACAAAAATACAAAAAAATTATAACTTTGCTGTTTTTAACCTTTTCTTTTAGTTCTTCGACATATAGTAATGGTTAAATATTTCAGAATCACGGTTTAAATTTCATCAAAATCGGACGATTATATCATATAACTCCCATAGGAACAATCGGAAAAAAAAATACAAAAAAAAATTATAACCTTGCGGTTTTTAAATTTTTCTATTAGTTCTTCGACATATAATAATGGTTAAATATTGCAGAATTACGGTTTAAATTTCATCAAAATCGGACGACTATATCATATAGCTCCCATAGAAATAATAAAAATATATAAAATATTGAGCTGCAAATCATCATAGCTTCAATGTTTTTAGACATATACGCAAGTAAATCATAATTTTAATGTTTTAAAAAATATTTAATTTTTGCAATAGCTGCAAGGGTATATAAACTTCGGCTTGCCGAAGTTTGCTTCCTTTCTTGTTTTTTTCAAACGTTCAATTTTATTTAAATTGTTATCTAGTTGACCTCAAAAGTATAGCATAAAAAAGCTATTTGATTTGAATCCAAAGGCCTCGGTTCGAATCACGGTTGGGTCGACTTGCAGTAAAATAAATAAGGTTTGCTTTTCTGTTTCCTTTACATATCGATTTATCATATTCCCTTTCATTCTAATTTCATATGGAGTCAAAGAGAAAAGAAAAAAAAAGAGAAAGAGACAAAAAAACATTTTTTAAAAAAGCTTAAGTTAACAAACTTTCATACTTGCATTAAGAATTTTTCGTACTCAAATTAATATCTTTCGCACTTTCTTCAAGCACTTTTGAGTACTTGGACTGATGACGTTCATTATCAAATGTGTAGAACTTCGGGATTGAATATTTCGTACTTGAATTTAGCCTTTCGTTCTTGAATCAAAAAAATTCGAATTTACCCTACTTTTGACATCGTTCGTTCTTGAATTGACATCGAAACTCTTGATTTTTTCTATGAGTGTACGGGGTTTATGCACTCAAATTGGTGTAGTTCTGACTACTTTCAGATTTTTGGTTAGTTAATTGGATTTTAGGACTGCTCTAGGTTTTGATTCCATATTGTGTAGCTGAGTGAAAATCATCTCACAATCACATGACATCACAAGAGCCCTTGCTGCACTTTTCAACCCCAGCCAACCTAACATAGTTAAATT